TCTCTCTCTCTCTCTCTCTCTCTCTCTCTCTCTCTTTCTCTCTCGCTCGCTCATTACGCCGCTCGTAATCAGGTCGGCGAGAAAAAACGTTCGCGGAAACGCGCGATAGATAGACGGCGAGATGCGTGTCGACTCGCCAGGACTCGGGGTATCGGGACGAATCGTAGTACCGGGAGAGTGCATCGTTCGCGAATTCGATCCCCGTGGGGCTTGATAAGGATGTAACTTTGGCCGTGACACCATCCGTCCGCTGATCTATCTCTCTCTCTTTATCTCGGTGGAGCTCGGGAGCGCTAAATCCGACCGGTGTATCGGGCGGAGGTGGGACCCCCCCGTGCTATTTCGATCCGTCGGGTCGTTATCGCGAATTACCGGCGCGCGAGCCGAGTGCCCGAGGAATAATTCCAGCGCGAACTCTCCACGGTCCCGGATCGACCGCATAAATCATTTTGTGGGTCACCGGAGCGACCACGTGGTGGCCCCGTTCCACCGGCTCGGCCCTCTCCTGATCGAACGCCCGCTCCTTCTCGGTCCACGAACTCCCGGCGGCATGTAATGCGCATCGGCCGCTCGCCGCTGGCCGTTGCATTGGCCTAAAAATAATCGCCGGTGCGGCGTGGCGTTTGCCGTCTTGGAAAAAGAATCGATATTATCCAAGTATATCGTCGACCGAGGGCGGCTTCGATGAAGAAGGATGTCGTTAATAGAACAGAACTTTTTTATTCTTTTTTTTTCTTCAAATAAATGCAGTTAGATACGCGACTCAAGTTGCGATTACATTTAAATGATTCCAGTACGTGCACTGAGAAAAGAAAACTGCTGAGTCAAGAAAATATTTCTCGATTCAACTATACGCTGCAGTCACGGGCTGTCAAACAAATATTTGTTAATTAAAAAATATATATATTGAATAAATTATGTATGTTTAATTGAAAACGTATATATTTGAATTAGAGAAACACTGTTAACTAAATATATTTATTAGAATATCAACCTTTTTTCTCGGTGTGATAATTTACATTCAGTTAGATGCTGAAACTTTTTTTTTCTAAGTATTGTTGCGTACGTGGAACGTTATATCCGTTAATGATAGATTTCGGGTACTCTCGGTGCTCGTTGTAAAAAAAATCGATGCCTTCGATATCGATTAGTGACCGCCGATGCTTTCTTGGCGGTCATTCCCGGTGCAGTGCTTCACTGTCATAAATCCCAATCTGTCTGTCTGCTGCGCATTTGTCGGTTAGTGATGCGCTTCCGAGCGAGCGGGTCGGCCGAATGGATCGGAGAGAAACCGAGGAAGAGCGTAGAAGGAGAGAGAGACGGAGAGTGATGGAATGACGTCAGGCATGCAATTACCGATGCACTTGACGCGTCCTCAACGGGCGAATCGTCTGAACGGACGCTCGTTGCTCCGGCCGCCTCCTATAAAGCCCGTTTTAGACGACCTGGAACCCGCGACGGAATTAAAAAATGCTTCGCGTCGGGAAATTCTTCAAGTTCTTACATACGTCTTTCACAAAGAGATTAAACCCGCGGGGTTTAAAGCCGCGCGAAACACTTAATAAACTTGTTAATGTTTATCTTTACTCTTCAAAAGTCAATCAGTGGATTATCACTGAGAACGGTGAATATTCACTGATTCACAGTTATGAATAATTCAGTGCTATACTCGTAGCTGCCTTCAGCGATAGTGCACCGATTGACTTTTCGAGGGTAAAGAAGAGGCAAGATCTTAAGACGGTCCGGTGACGAGTTCTTCGATTCGAGATCAAAATTCAGGTGAGAATATTTGCGAACGTGGAGTCCCGACGAGGCTCCTTTCCGCAGATTGTATTTACAGTACGGTCCACGATACCGTGGGCAGAATTCTGCCCTGAATTCTGTCTCCGAATTATGGATCGCCCAGACGGGGCTTAATGCCGCCTCCTTCCTTTGTCGTCTCGCGAACATTCGTCAACATCGCGTCCCTCGGCGGTCGTGTCTGGAGTCGATTAAAATGTCGTTTATCTTCCCGGACGTTCCACCCTAACTCCCACGGTGCGGAGAAAACGCGAGCCGAGGTGCGAGGCCCGGGGGCTCGTCATCGTCGGGCAATAATGGGCCGGCCGGCCGCCTGGATATAGAAAGTGAAAAATGCCGGCGATGGTCGGACAAGGTCGTCGGGGAGAGACGACCCATTCGGGCGACGCTAGACGATTACTACTGCTGATTGAGGATTGTACAATAATAGGCGCGAAGGCGTCGCTTCGCGCTCGATAGAGCGACGATTTTAGATAGACGGCGATTACCGATAAAGCGATATTCAGCGCGATTAGCAATTTATGCTGATTGCCGGCGCAGGGTATTTAGCAAGCGCTGTGCTTTAATAACGACAGACGACATTATTTTCGATATAATTAATGTTCTATCTTCGTTCCCGGTATTTGTATATCAAAGGACTAGTTTAGACTCGCTCGGCGTCTCCAAGGATTTGTTACTAATAAGGATTGTTGCTAATAAGCGACGAGAATTCCCTACGGGAAGATTCTTTTTTTTCCTCTCTCGCTCTCTCTCTCTCGTGAAACGTAAACCTCCATCGATCACTTCGCCGCCGTTAAAGGGAATAAGCGCCTGGGCGCAAGAATGGATTGGTTTTTTGTGCCACGGAGAAGGACCTCTCTCCCTCTCCAGGGAGAACGAATCTACGCGAGGGGAGGGAGGAGACGCCCGCCGAGACGGCCGATAAACACTCGAGGCGGCCGGAGGAGAACGTATCGCGAGGATCAATACTCTGTAATGCCGAGAGAGACTTTTTCAGGCCAAATTTGACGATACAATGGACGTGAAATTAGCGTCCGACAGAAGGGGCGTCCGCCGTCTCATGCATCCTCCGAGTATTCCGATTCGCGTTGCAGGACTTTGTTGCAGACTCTTTAGGCTTTAAGGCCTCCACACTCGAATCTACGTAACACGTAATACATAAACCGTAAGGAAATCCTCCAATCGACTATTCCCCCACTACATTTTTCTACGCGAGACGGAAGCCGTAGCGGTGAAAAATTTCGTAAGGATGAAATTCTTACGTTTATGTCGTTTACCTATACAGATTTTGAGGTAATATATTGTGTTTTAATGAGCGATCATAATAGATACTGCTTATCAAATAGAAGAAAATTCACGTGAAATGATCGACACTGATGATACGATTAAATCAAATCGACGATTTGCTCATTGACTGTTTGTGAGGTTATCTTGTCGAAACTTATATTGTAAATACCAACGTTTTACTCACTTTTCACAATAGAACGTAAATACAATAGAAAAACGAAGATACAGCAGGCAGCACTTGACACTTTGCGATCTTTCTTCAATGATGATGATGACTGTGGACCGTGGTCGAAGCTTACGTACTACGGCTTACGGTTTACGTGTTAAGTAGATTCGTGGGTGAAGGCCTTTATCCGGACAATCTCGCGCGCCGCTGCCGGACGAAATAAGCCCCTCCCCCCCGAATACAGACGTCCCTGTAACCGCGCATTCTCACAATCAGTTGCGTGAAACCACCGGGCCCTTTTACGTACGGAGACCACTTTCGCACAGATCCCTCGCTCCGTGGGCTTTCGCTCCCTCGGGCATTTATTTGTTTCCATCAACTCTCGCTTTCGAGGGTCCCCGCCGGTGTTACGGCCGAAATCCTTCCAGACGTTTCAAGCCGTAAAATGTCACGCCGTTCTGGACGAATTTGGCAGACCTCTATAATTTCGCGCCTACGTTTTCGCTCTTATGAATTACGCGTGCTACTTGAACGATTCAATTCACGCCGCTCCCGACGGTTGTGTCTCGCGTTCGGTAAATCCACCCCGCTAGTCGAGCGTGGAATCTTGGGTAAGACTTCCGAATAGCCGCTACCTCCGAATTTGATGAAACTTGCAGCAATGGTAGGCCATTAGATAATACGTTCGCACTATAAAGGATTTTTGCTCGGTGGCCCGAGCGCCTTTGTCGGTTTTCGTCTCGTGCTAAAAGGTGAGTGTCGACCGCGTCTTCACTTGCGCTTAGCGAAATCGAGCTGCTCGCGAATTCGGAGCGAAAGTACGTGTAAACTTTAGCGGTGCGATTATACGTAAAATTAAAGGTGGCTATTGTGTTTAATCGAGAGATCCCTTTTCTTTCTTCTCGTTTCCCGCCGCGTCGGTGACTCTTACTCAGTGCCGCGCATTCTCGAACACAATTAAGTAGACAATAAATATTCAATTTTATCGATTAAGTGGCGTATTACTACGCTTGTAATACCGGAGATATTATCGGCACGTAAAGTGCAATCTCCTTCGTCCCACGACAAGAGAAAGAACTCGCGTTCACGCGACGCCGAGAGGGAAGAGTGCCCACGACACGGAATTCTCGGATAACGAGAGTCTACTCGACGGCGGGCAAAACTCAACGCGCGTTAACGCTGAAATAAGTGCTTTCGCACCTGCAGCCATTGGTACTTGGCACTGGTCCCGCGATCGCGTAATTCCGCTCGACCTTCGAGAGCAGAACCGCGCTCCGCCTATCTTGCTCTCTCACGGCGAGCTTTCTTCGCGAGGGAAGCGTCGGCGCGATCGTCCGCGTCTCGGGTCTGCCCGCGACTGTAAATCGCGCCGATCGGTAGCGCTCGCCATCGAAAGGCGCCGTCGTCGTCCTCGCGCGAGAGGAATGCCGAAGGACGCGGAAGATGCGGAAAAGGCGCCCGGCCGCCGATCCTCGCCCTTTCACCGCTTTAGAAAGGATACCTGCCGCGAAGCACCGATCGCATAATAAATGCGCCTCTCACGCAACATCGGGAATTGCCTGCAATTTGCATCGTAGGCGTTTCTCTCTCTCGCGCGCGCGATTGCACGTCGTCTGAGAAAATTTCGAGGCGGAAGAGCGCGCGCAGCGCTGAATGCGAAACGAATGTGGATATTGGTAGAATAAATGTAGCGCGAAGGGTGTGAGATACCGAGGAAGTAAATTCCCATTTTTCCCGTGTGTTTCAGGGCTGAACTTAGATAACAGCAATATGTCGATGTCGTCGATGGGGCCGCAAAGTCCTCTCGACCTGAAGCCTGACACAGCTCTTATCAACCCGGGGAACTTCAGCCCGTCGGGTCCCAACAGTCCAGGGTAAATATTCTCGTAACGCAGTCAAATCGATCCTTGGCGAACATTAATACGGAACTAGACTCGATTTGTCCGGATGACCTCGATGAGGAGAATTCTCGCGCGGTTTAGCGATATATCCTTCTAATGCGGCGTCTTGATGTTTAAGGCCCGGCTGCACCAACGTCACGGAATTTTAACATTAGCTTGACTCACTCTTCGTCTCTTTCTTACCGTTTTCCCTAGGCCCGGTTTTTCATTGTCCGGTTAGCAATTAACCAGAAAATTATAAAACCGGGCCTTAGAAGGAGACAGAGGGTGAATTAAGCCGAGGATAAGGTTAAGCGACGTTGGTGAAACCGGACCTAAGACGTAAGATTTAAGGAAGTGACCTATCATAATCGAGCGTGAGGAGAACAATCGGCTGCGATTGGCCATCCTTTTAAATCTTACGTCTTAAAGGTATCTCATCGTAGACGCCGCATTGCGAAAAGAATCGCAAGAGTCACCGGGACGTAACGCGCTCGTCGCGATTTGAGGGAGCGCGTCTGTAAACTAGCGCGGCACGCGTCTCGAAGTGTGCATGCTACCGGTGCTGTAGCGGCGTAGATCTCATAGACGATCGTTCTCTGCTTTGCATGTAAAGACCCTTCAATGCTGGTTGTCACAGCAACCACCTGAGTACATCGCCCAGCGGTCAGAGCAAAACGGTCACGCCTTATCCGCCTAATCACCCCTTGTCGGGCAGCAAGCATCTGTGTTCGATCTGCGGCGACCGTGCGAGCGGCAAGCATTACGGCGTTTACAGGTAAGTTCATCATCATTTCCGTATCGTTACGCAACGAGAGGGCTCGTTAGTGCGAGCGATACCTCTCCGCCGGACGGACCTCGATTAATCTTTATTGACTTCCACTCGGTGCACCCCTTGCCTTTCGTTCTCAAGCGGTGGAGTCCCGTCAAGGGTTCGAGGGACAATTTGCGCTGTCCATAGAATATCTCGCGGTATCCACGGAAAACACTCGAAGTCGTTGTACGTAAGAAGTACGTATCCGATAGAGGTTTAATGAAGTAAGACCCCCCCCGTACCCCCGCGCTCGTATTTGTCATGCAAATTTGATCCTTGAACCGCGCGGCGGTTTTATTCAAGAAATGTACGCGCTCGCGGGTAATCGCGGCGTCTCGATTGCGGCTGAGAATCTCCCGGCGCGGCGACTTCAATAGGAGCGAACAAACTCGTTTGAATATCCCCTTGTGCATCCACGTCGTGCGTCGTTTCGCGGCGGCCAACTGCAAAAATAATTACCGCGCTCCTCTCCGTCGCGTCTCTCCGCGTCGGGGGCGAGGGAAGGAAGCGAGAGAACGCGAACGATAAAGGCCCCGCGATTTATTCGAGAGAATAAGAGAGAGGGAGGCAGATACGCGCCCATGAATATGAACTCGCCGTCGTCGTAGTCGTCGTACTTGCGGATGACTTTTCCGCCGCGGGGGCGGTTCAAGGTCCTTCGGATTCGCTTGATAATCCTGACCCTCGTTAGCAGGGGAATACGGCGGGTAATCCGTCCACCGGCAGCTCCACCGGGGAGTGCAGTAATAATAAGCGAGCCATTTACTATGCGGCTCCGGCCTGTGTCACCTATATAGCGGCGCGTCGCGTCGCGATAAAGCACCGCCGATAGACGCTTTGTTTTTTCCAATTATCGCTACCCTCCGACCCGCGCTCGGCGTCGCGAGAGCAAGGCTGATGGCAGAAAACGATCCGTAAACGCTTAAGGCCCGGTTTCACCAGCACCGCTTAACTTTAAGCTTAGTTTCATTCGTTCTTGGTCTCTTTCCAACTGTTACTTTAGAACGAGGCAGCCCGAGTCGAAATTTTGGTACTATTTTGACACTTTTAAGGATAATTTACACCTTCATAGACCAGCAATAACCTACTTTGATGACATTATACTTTTTACTCCTCCCTTGAATCTTTAATTCTAAAAATTTACTTTAGCTCCTACTTAAAAGGATCTACTTTAATGCTAAATTGGCAAAAGTAGAAATTTCCGATACTATCAGTTTTAAAGTAGAAGTAAATTTTGCACTCGCAGTTTGACCTCTTTTACTGTCTTAGGTCCTACTATATAATAAAATTAAAGGTTCAACATAGAACCAAAATTTCGACTCGGAAAGTAACGAATTAAACTGACAATGAGCTTAAAGTTAAACAACGTTAGTGAAACCGGACTTTAGTCGTAGACGTAAAGGCCTGTGTCCACGATAGCCAATCAACTTGCAGCTGTTTCATAAAAACTGCAAGGTGACTGGCTACACATTTCTCGAAACTGGAACTTGGACCAAGTTCAAGCATCGTAGACGGGAGTCCTTGAAGCAAGGCAGAGAAAAAGTCAAGTCGTGAAAGTATATTGTATACGACTAAGTTTTTCTCTGCCTTGCCTCACGTTTACCGCCAAGACAGACTTAATCGTTCTCTGCCACGAGCGTAAGCGCGCGATTCCGAGTAATTGAATCGAGTGGACGGACACCGAGCCCTCGCGAGGGAATTTTCGCCGGCATTTTTACCGGCGGGACACGCGGCGCTCGAGCGACGACCGTCGACGGAGGCGGCCCGTCGACCTTTCCTCAATTATTTAACGCTCGATAAGTCTCGAGGCTGTCTCGTGTCTTTACTCGAGGGATTGGTGGCGTTAGGCTCCTCCGTGTTTCGTGTACCGTCTGCGAAGTTACGATCCCATTTGACGCTTATGATTTAAATATTGAAAACTCACGGGATTTCGGCGTCGGACACGTAGTTGATCATCCCGGTTTAATAACGGCGCGCGGTCGCTTCGGATTATTTATACCGGATTACGCAACGTGGCTGGAACAACTATTTCGGAAGTTCTCGGGTGCCTCGTAGCTGCTGCGTAAAAGGATTTCTCGAATCTCGCGTTACGTCCTTCGGAAATCCGACACTGAACTTTGACTCGCGCGCGCGCGCGTGCGGCGCGGGTTATTAACGGAGGAGTCGTTTTTTCTCGCGCTCGTTTTTTTCCCCTTTGCGTGCACACGTAGAAGAAAAAAAGCTGCAAATGCGGCGTCACGTTTACATAATCGGGCGTGGTGCGTCGAACCGTCGTCGGCCGGCGGAATAATAAAAATGTCGACGAACCAAACGCGACGACACGTAACGCGGGGCGTCTCGCGCGAGGCGAGGAAACGCGATAGTGTAGGGTAAAAGAGCCTCCACACCGCGCGTCGGCCGCGTCGCGAGGACGGGCCCCGCGGGTGTCGTCTTTCGTGCCGCAGCTGCAACAGGTCCGGTCGCGGCGAACCGCCGCGTTGCGTGCGCGCGTCCGCGAAAATGCATCGCTGAAAAGAAAGAAACATCTGCGACGGACTATTATGCGAGCGCACGCGAGCCGCTCCGCTCGCCCGAACGCGTGTCGCGCGAGCAGCGACGTTTCCGCGCCTCCTCGTCAACGGGCGCGTTAGGCCCGGTTTCGCACCAATCGTTGCTTAACTTTAAGCTTATAGCGAATTCGGCTGGTTGCACTAGTTGCGCACTGAGTGCACACCGAGGCCTGTTTGTAGTCAATTTTTATATTTAACTTTGTCTTCAATACATGTTCAAAAATAATTTAACCGAACAATGATCCGCGTGGATGCTATACAGACCATTTTACTGGCTACGAAATATTTCAAAAGACATTTAAGACGATCCTTAAATATAAGAATTGATTGTAAACAAGCCTTAGCGTGCACTCAGTGCGCACTAGTGCAAGCAACCGAATTCGCTGTTAGTTTAATGTTCGTCTCTTTCTAGCGTAACGGTTGAAAAGAGAAAAAGAACGAATTAAACTAATAAGCTTAAAGTTAAGCGACGTTGGTGAAACCGGGTCTTATTCGGCTTTCGTAACCGCCGAAGAGAGAACGTCGCTCGGGAAACGAAATCGACTGTTCCAAAACCTGATCTAACGGTGTGCTCTCTGCATCTAGAAACATTCTATTTTATATAAACAAATCGGAACGCTTGAAAAATTTGTCGACAATGTACGATTGTACAGTGTATAATATACAAATCAAACGTATTTTATTGACTGCAAAACAGAATGTTTCTAGACGCAAAGTGCACATTGAGATTAGGTTTAATAGTTACGCGACGGCATGGAAATTATCTTGTACGATGTTTGCGTTCACGTGTGCTCCATGTAATCACAGGATCCTGGGATCTTTTCAATCTGATCTACAATGTACTTTTTGCAATTAGAAACATTCTATTTTGTACAAGCAAATCAATGCGCTTTAAAAAAGTTTATCGACAATGTACAATTGATCTCCTTGCACACATTTTTTAAATGCATTTATTGGCTACAAAATAGAAAGTTTCTAGACGCAAAGAGCACATAGTAGATTAGGCTTAACAGTTGGAATGAGACAAAGACCGAATTAAGCTGAGCTTAAAGTTGAGCGACCTTGGTGAAACCGGGCCTCGGTTGGACAAGGTATCTTAACCGCGATTAGTTCACAAGCCGCAGGTACGCGCGGACTTTAAGGTACATTTAAGACAAAGTTAAATATAAGAATTGATTATAAACACGCCTTAGGAACTGAGTTCACCGTAAGGTAGAACCTTGTCTTGCCGCGTCGATATCAGTTCACGTGCCGCGGGCGTGCCCCCGAATTTCATTCCGACGATGGATCCCGTTAACATTTTCCCCGGCGGTGGCTTTACGAAACGGCTCAGATAGGAAAGTTAGATTCTCAAAGTAACTTATCCAATTAAAACTTGTATCGACTTTCTAATTTAACCCGTGAGTTACCGCGGCGTAACGACCAGAGTAACGTAGCGGAGGAGGGCGGGAGGGTCTCGTGGGTCTTACGTTGGGACACCCATATTCCGAGAGTTATAGGCATCCGCTCCGTATTTCGATCTCCTAAAGGCCTGCGTCCACGATGCTGGAACTTGGTCCACGTTCTAGTTTCGAGAAATGCGTAGCCAATCAACCTGCAGCTATTCCATAAAAGCGGAACTAGAACTTGGACCAAGTTCTAGCATGGTGGACACAGGCCTTAACGTGCCTGCTTGATAAAAACGGTTGATCCGCTCGACAACGACCTGGGGGCGACGCCGGTGCGCGCGAATGTACGATACACTTTCCCTCGTAAAGTCAGCAGCGTGGTACCCCTTTCGTCCGAGGGTCTTCCCGAGGATTTTACCGCGAGCAATCTTTGTGAAACGTTGCCGGGTATTACGGACGGAGGCTCGCGTATCGATCAACGAGATCGCTTCGTGTTAATTTCGGTACCGTTCCTCTATTCACCTAATTGACTTTCCGACGGACGTATCCTGTTATTATACCGTTTCCAATGCATTTCCAATGCGCCGCGCATATTTTCGGCGGCTCTCGCGAGCCGCGGCGAGGCTCCGCGGAATCCCGCGATCATGCCAAAATGCATTCGATATCACGAATTCCGCTCCAATTTCCGCGAATCGCGGAGCGACCTCGGGGTCGGCAATTCTCGCTGCTAGAGCGCTCAACGCCGAGGTCGATCGCTGGTCTACGCGGCTGGTGCACGCCGGGCGTGCGGGGAATCCCGATGCGCGACGGCCAGCGTGCCTCCTCCCTCCTCCTCGCCCCGCTTTTCCTCCCGTCCTCCTCTCCCTTCGTCCCTCGTGCCGCGATGATTGCGCCGAGCTGCAGGCCGGCCCGGCTGCCGACGCTCGGCGTTGCATCAGAGCCCCATCAACCTTGGACTTGCTGCTGTTGGCTCACGAGGTTAGGACGACTACCCACCCGTAGTTCCTACGAGCGGAGGGGAGCCTCC